AGGAATGGTCACAATGCAATCCCTTCTCCTCCATCTTTCTGACTCTTCAGGATTTGGGACACACACGTACATGCAACCACCTGGTGTGTTTCTCAAACTAGAAGGCCTGGAACTCAGATTGCATGGTTGGCCATGGGGGATCTGGCTGCCTTAGCCATTAGGACAGAGTTGGCCCTGACATTCTTTTAACAAGTCCTGTGTAGTAACCAGGAGCAAGTGGACATTGGACCAGGAAGAGTAAAGGCCTGGATCAAAGGCTGGTGGGTCCAGCTATGGTGATACCGAAGCCATGTCGGGAAACCTGGGGTTTGGATCCTGGGTCAGTCTGGGCACATTGGGCCTGCCCATGCTCCTAGGGGGCTGAAAGGCTGGGATGGCAGGGCAGGGAAGGTGACAAGCACCTGTGTGGCAAGAGCCTGGGTGTGTGTGTGGGGAGGTAGGGGGTTGCTAGCTCTCTCTCTCATTAAATAAATATATAACTTTAAAAAGAAACCCTTTGGGGACCAGGAGTTGGCCTAATGGCTATGTTGCTGGACTCCATGTAGTTCATCACAGTTTGAGTCCCAGACTTGGTGGCTTAAACTTACGCCGGGCCTGTGTGCATGCGTGTCCAAGATCCCAAGAGGAGAATGGAGGGGAAGTGAATGTGGCTTGGCCATCCCCCCTGGGGGAGGCTTTCCTGCTTTCCGTCTCTCTGTCTCTCTCTGTCTTTCTGGTGAGCACATGTGCCCTATAGCAAAAACCTCTCAAAAAAAAAAAAATCCCTCTGATCATGATGACCCTCGTAATAGGCTCTCCATCCTGTGGGAATGAGACAATAGTAACAATCAAAGCAAAAATTATTCAGCACATATTGTCACCATTGTGTTGAGGCAAGCTGAGGCACTGATAGGATACACAACTCGCTTAAAGCCACACATCTAGGACGTGGTTTAACCAGGGCCTCTGCGTTCATGTCCTTGCTCTTCATACCAGATTCCACCATGACTCTCAGAACCCTGTGACAAAAATTCATCATAACTAGATGCAGGACATGGCTCAGTACTCTCCAGCTCGAAGAAAGGTCTAGGTTGGTATCTGTGCTACAGTAAAAAATAAATTAATAAATAAAATAACATGATAAAGAGAAAAAAAATCAACTTGGGCCTTGCCGGCAAGAGGCCATTCAGCTTCTGTTGCTTTGGTACTACTGTTGAATTTGGCCACTGTTCAGTAGAAACCATGTCATTCCAGCTGGCTTTCACCTGGGGCTTTACAGCTGCTTAAAAGAAAAGCCCAGAAACCAGACTTGCCAGGCTAGGATAAAGCAGTTGCTCCTTTCCTGGTGCCTGCCTAAGGGTACCTGGAAACAGCTGCCTCGGAACAGCTGCTGCTGGGGTTGCTCTCTGTCATCTTAGAGGGGAGTGCCCACGCAGAAAGGAATACTGAAACAGAAAGAGTGATACCTGAACAGAATAAACATTGTCAGGGCCGCCTGGAAGAGCACAGGCCCCAAGAAGAAGAGAGCAAATGGGATCCAGAGGAGCGGAGGGCCTCACCTTAGCAAAAGCTATGAACTGGCTGGCCTAGGCTGTACCTTGTTCTCACCCGTGTTTACTGAAAACCAACAGCTGATTTACTGGTAAATGACGGTGACACCTTTGTACAACATAGGAAACAATAAGTGCACCACAGCTTGACACTTCTTTGTTTTTAATTTATCATTTGGGACCAGCAGTTGGCATAATGGCTATGACACTGGACTCCCATGTAGTCGACCGCAGATCGAGTTCCGGACCCAGTGGCTTAAATTCACACCGGGCGCGTGTGCGTGCGTGCCCAAGATCCCGAGAGGAGAATGAAGGAGTAGGGATTGCGGCGTGACCATCCCCCCTGGGGGGTGATTCCTCGCTTTCTGTCTCTCTGTCTCTCTCTGTCTGTCTGGCTTGTGAATGCGTCCTATAGCAAAAACCTCTCCAAAAAAAGAAAAAAAAATCTATCTTTTGATTATTTCCCTGTGATTGAGACTTGAGTTTTACTTTTGTATCATATACTTCAAATCCATCTCTGTAACTACCTGCGAGTGACGTTGACCCAGCTCCCTTGATTCATTACAGCTGTGGCAGCCATCCCGCCTTCCCCAAAAGCTCTGAATCCAGCCAAGATAATTTTAAGTTTCTCTCTCTCTCTTTTTAATTTGCCAGGGGGTGTGTGGACTCTCCAAAGAGAGAGAGAGACAGAGAGAGGGAAGCCCAGCAGCCTGGGGCAGAGCCTGGGACAGCTCTTCTGCTTCTGGTGGCTGAATTCCTGGGTGTTCTTACTTCACCACTGAAGTGTATCTGCCATGCTTGGGTTGGCATGACCCAAGAGTCAGTGTCCAGGTATCCTGTCCCCTCTCTCCCATCCCCAGCAGTTCTCCAGAATAGTACCCCAAATTGAGAAGAGTTGTTTAATTGAATAATAGTAGCTGTGTGGGCCTAACAGTGAAATAGTATTAAGCAGTCAGGATCATTGCGTACTAAATTGTTACCCATTTTTGTTCATTACCGTCCTCCCCGTTGTTACCTTACAGAGTTGTTTCATGTAGCTTTGACTTTCAGAATAACCTTGTGAAGGAGATAGAGCAGGTGTGGATTACCTTAAGTTTTAGATGAGAGAGGTATAAAGTGGAGTGCAGACCTGAAATTATATCTGTATCCTTCTTACTCGATAACGTGGAAAAAAGGTGGTTAAGGTATTGGACTCCCACATGGCCAACTGTGGTTTGAGTCCCACACCTGGTGGCTTAAAAGATCATGCAAGGCACATGTTCATGGCACCTGAGATCCCAGGAGGAGAGTGGAGGAGAAGGGATTGCAACATGGCCATCCCTCCTGGGGGAGTGATTTCTCACTTTTCCCCTTTCTATTTCTGTCTCTGTCTCTTTCTGGAGAGCACATACACCTTATGACAAAAAACCTAAACCAATAATAATAAAAATAATTGCGGACATGTGCTGGCCCTGTGGCCTGATGGTAGAAGGAGCCAGATCTCACATGGCCCACCATTTGGTTCAAATCCCAGGCCTAGCAGCTTGAAAAACACCAGGTATGTGGAAAAGGCACCACATGCCTGGCACTTTTTTCAAGCCTCCAGATCCAGGAATTGAAGTAAGCAATAAACCATGTGGGATCCAACTGCCTTAACTACCGTGCCACTGGCTGACTCGACCAAATAAATTTTGTGTATGTGAGTGCCCCACATCTCAAAAGGATGGAGAAGTGGAAGAGAGTGTGGTGTGACTGCACCCCTTTGGGGGGTGATTCTCTTTCTCCCTCTCTGTGGAATACACTCACCCTCCAGCAAATAGAAAAAAAGAAAAAAATGCATAATACTTAAAACCTAGCCCAATCGAATGCTATTCTAAGTGATGATCAGATTCATAATTAAAAAGCGTTTGAGGACCAGCAGATGGTGTAATGGCGACATTGTTGGACTCCCACATGGCCGACACAGTTCGAGTCCTGGACCTGGCAACATGAAACTCATACTGGGTGCATGCATGCATGCCAAGATCCCAAGGGGACAATGGAGAAGAAGGGATTGCAGTGTAACCATTCTCCCCCTCCCCCAGGAAGTGATTTTTCACTTTCTGTCTCTCTGTCTCTCTGATGAGTGCACATGTCCTGTAGCAAAAATCTCTCTTAAAAAACAAAGAAACAAAATATATTTGAGCTATGATTTTTCAATAGTGACTCATTGACCAAATTATATATTTTTAAATTTGCTATAGGTTATATGCACTTACCAGAGAGACAGAAGGAAAGTAAAAAAGCACCCCCCCACACACACACCACCACCACCACCACCAAAGTGCAGATGGCTAAGCTATAATAACTTTTGCTCCTTTCTCCTCTTGGGATTTTAAGCACGTATGCACACATGCTTGGCATATTTTTCAGGCCTCTAGGTCCAGGACTTGAACAAAGTTGACCACATGGAATCCAACCACTTTGACCACCATGCCACTAGCTGGCCTGACCAAACAGTTTTTCATTGATTTTAATTATTCATCCTTTCAAGCAAGTCCATTAATCATAAAACAGCAAATTAGTAAGTAAGCTCTTTTTTTAAAAAAGAATTATTTTATTTAACTATATGTTCATTCATTTTAATTTGACCAGAGAGGGACAGAATGAGAAAGAGAGAGAGAGAAAGCTAGAAAGCAAGCTGCCTGGTACAGGACTTGAACCACAGTAGGACATGTGGGAGTCCAGCGCCCTTAACCACCATGCCATCTGCTGGCCCCATAAGTAAGCTCTTTTAATAGTGAGTTATAATTAATTATCTTCCCTGTGACAAAATAACATTATTTTTCAACAGTTAAATTATAAGTTAAGCCTTACTTGATAGATTATCGTTACGCACACAAAAATGCCAACTCTTGAAATTCTATGTCCTGAACTTAAGTGTTTTACTTGTAAGGGTTTGAAACATTATCAATGACCTCTTTGGTAAATGTTTTTCTTTATATTTCAAGGTTCCACACATATTAAAAATCATTGGTATTTGAATATCCATATTAACCATATTTTAACATTTCCTGGAGAAAGGATTTTGTAAATTAAGCAATATTACTTATGAACAAATACCTTTGAGTAATTTTCAGTAGCTCTTTCGAGTGAAGGTGGAAGGACTGAAAATATTTGATGACTGTTGCACTATAGAATTTTTGTATATATAGGATGGAGTTATAATGTTATGGTTATAAAAATTTTTGAATGATGCAGACTCAAATACTACTTTCTTCCTAAAAACAAACAAACAAACATAAATCACTGCTTAATTTCCTAATTTCTTACCCTCTTAGGCGATTCCCTTTGTTTTCAGATTCTCAGTTCTGTGAGGCAATTTGGCAATTCTGCCAGAAGAAAAACGTTTAGTCATCTTGGCTTTCAGTCAAAAGTTATTTCCCCTTTTTGCTTCAGCCACGACAAAAACAAAACTTTAGTCTGACACTTTTTCTGATGTTTACAGCCACTAACAGAGAAAAATATCCAGGAAATTGTATTAATAGAATTTCCCCTGCTCCTACCACCGAAGAGTGAAGACTGTTAGCTCCTTTCCCCAGCTTCCCTGACAGCCTCCAAGCAGAGCAGATAATGAAGTGTTTCTAACAGGCGATAGCAAATCACTGAAGGTAGGTCATGGTCCAGATTATACTCAGAGGGAGGAAGGAGCTTAGATGCTTTTATCAGGCATCGAGTGCATCAAATATTCATTTAACGTTGTGAGAATTTATCTGTGGTCTTTTTAGGGTGGCAATTTTGAGTTGGTTTCCTTAAAAGACATGAGTGTTCAAACACTCAGATGCATACATTCTATTGGAGCACAGACACATGCATGATGTCTTGTTGGGTGTAAAGGAAATTCTGGAATGAGAAGTGAGACGTGGCACACCCTGCTGTTAGTCACTTCATTTTTGGCTCAGAATCCTTTTTTTTTTTTTTTTTTTGAGAGGCTTTTGCTATAGTGCATACATGTGCTCACCAGAGAGACAGAGAGAAGCTAGAAAAGGGAAAGTGAGAAATCGCCCCTCGGTGAACCATGGTCAGCCATGTATGAGTCTCCAATGCCTTAGCCACCACACACCTGCTGGCCCCAACCAACTTTAAAATTTATTTTTTCCTTTTTATTTTCTAAGATATTTCTTTATTTTAAAAGCAGAGACAACATTTTCTACTTTTAAAAATGAACAAATTAAATGTTTATTGTGATATATATATTTTTCTTTTTGGAGAGATTTTCACTATAGGGCGCGTGCGCTCGCCAGACAGACAGAGAGAGACATTAGAGACAGAAAGCGAGAAATCACCCCCCAGGGGGGATGGTCACGCCGCAATCCCTTCTCCTCCATTCTCCTCTCGGGATCCTGGGCACGCACGCACACGCGCCTGGCGTGAGTTTTAAGCCACCGGGTCTGGGACGCGAACCGCGGTCGACTACGTGGGAGTCCAGCGACATAGCCATTACGCTAACTGCTGGTTCCCGATTGTGATATATTTTTCATGTGATTTAATTTAATTACTATTTTCTTTCTATTAATTAAAGGTAGAATTACAGTATATATAAATTTTTTGAAATTTAACATTAAATTATATTCATAGTACATGTTGCTCAATCCTTGTAATACTTTCTGATTGTATTTATTGAACTGTGACAGGTCAGGTGGGGCCAGTAGGTGATGTAGGCCTTAGACTACCGCATGGTCGACCAAGTTCCAGTCCTGGAACAGCAGCTTCAAACTCATGCCAGGTGTGTGTGCGTGCATGCCCAGAATCCTGAGAGGAGAGTGGAGGAAGAGGGACTGCAGCATGGCCATCGCTCTGGGGAGTGATTTCTCGTTTTCTGTCTCTGTCTCTCCAGTGAGCGCACACATCCTATAGCAAAAATCTTTCTCTTGAAAAAAAAGAGGGGGGTCAGGCATGACGTGTTTATAAGATTATGGAAGTTCAATAGCTGGAAGTCATATGATACTTAAAAGTTTTCTCCTCTATAAATACTACATGAGCATTACTTTCACTTTCAGAAACTGCTAAACCTTGGCCATGGCCGTTTCCTCCTTTCCAACCTTTGTGGCATTTTTGGCCCAGATTACCCTACAAGTTGGTGCCTTGGACACTTTCATAGCTGCGGTGTACGAACATGCCGTCATATTGCCAAATAAAACGGAAATACCTCTTTCTCAGGATGACGCATTGATTCTCATGAACAAGAATATAGATATTCTGGAAAATGCAATTAGTCAGGCAGCAAAACAGGTATTCTTTTATTTCTACCAATCATAATTTATGGGAGGGTATAGGAGCTGGTGGAGAATCAGGGTGCTGAATTGTCTATGTCACACATAGAAAAATAATTTTGATTTGACTTTTTTTGAACAGGATGCTCAAATCATTGTGACTCCAGAAGATGCACTTTATGGATGGAAATTTACCAGGGAAACTATTTTCCCTTATCTGGAGGATATCCCAGACCCACGGGTGAACTGGATTCCCTGTCAAGACCCCCGCAGGTATTTCAACTCTCCTAGCTGTTTGTGTAAAAGTGCTGTAAGTCTCCAGATGTGTGTTTGTGAAAGCAAAATGATTGACCTGAATTATCATATATGTGGTGTATGTAATGGTTATATTTACTCATTAGATTTTTAGAAATCATACTTAGAAACCATTTAACAATCTTATGATTGAATATCTTTATTAAAATTGGGAAAATATTTAAGTAGGGCATTTACTACAAAAAAGAAAAAAACCTAAAGGACAAGGATCTTGTGATTGAACTAGTAACTTAGTTTCTGAAGTAGACAGTTATGTTAGAAGAATACCCCAAGGCTGCTGTTGAAGGGACCATATTTCAGTTTCATAGAGTCTGTCCTAGAGACTGTTTCCAAAGCAGAAAAACCTCATCATGGACTTTCAATGAAGCATAAGACCTTATGTTTTGAATTTGTTTGCCTAGGCTCATGAAGTTAATTTTCCTGGGAAAAGGTAATTTAGAAATCTTCTCATATAAAATATATAATCAATATTAGTGTATATATATGTGTGATATATGTGTGTGTGTATATATATTTATATATTTAAAGAATTATTTTATTTAACTTGATTTATTTAGTTTTTAATTTGACCAGAGAGGGACAGAGTGAGAGAGAGAAAGAGGGAAAGTGAGAAAGCAAGCTGCCAGTTTTGAGACTCAAACCACGGTTGGCCACATGGGAGTCCAGCACCCTTAACTAACATGTCACCTGCCAGCTCCAATGTTGGTATATATTAAATAAGTAAAACCTACTTCTATTATGACTTGACGATGATTTTTAATACAGACATCTCAGTTTTCTATTTGCAGTAGTGGATCTCTCACTCGTTCACATTTGTTCTCTCACTCTCACCTCTCATCTCTTATTCTCTTATCTACTCACCTGTTCTCTTACTCTATTATCTGAAATTAGATTTTTAAAATATCCTGCTGTTACATTCTTGCTGGAAGATTTTTTAGGCACTCCTGATAATTCCGAAATTTGCAAAACTATCAGGAAATGGCTTTTCTGCGCTGTAGAAAGATTGACTACACCAAGAAGAAGCTATTGGGTTTTATAAGGGCAGACAGTTCCATCTTCCCATTCTTTCTGTTCTAAGCTTGTGCTCTTTATGGGTTTTGTAAGACTTTCTTTTGTACAAGAAGAGATGCCAGTAACTGAAGTCTTTCTGCATAGGAGTTTTGAGAGTTGCTTTCCTTCTCACAAGAGTTTGAGTTCTAGGTTTCCTTTTAAAAGTGTGTGTTGGACATTTGTAGAGGAGTTGAAGATCACAATGTTATGGAAAATAATGTAGGTTGGTGGAAGGGTGGAGGAGGGGCTCATTCCATAAGGTTAAGAAATGCCTTTTTCATAGCCCCAGAGTAGAAGGAACATAAATTGCAGAGAAGAAAAATTTTGTATCCCCACCCGTGGTAGTGACAGTTAATTCAACTGGAACAAAGGGGTTGCTCTTTACAGGTATACAGAACAAGGAAGAAATGGCAGGCCTGGGAATAGGAATCAGGGATTCAATTTTGTGCATCTTAAGTTTGTGCTGCCCTTTAGACATCCAGATGGAAATGTCAACCCGGCAGTTACATGTACACGTCAATACAAAACAACATAAAAGGTTAAGGTTAGATCTGGTGATAGAAAGTCAGGAATCCACATAGAGTGAGTTAAAGAGAAGCCACTTAAGGCTTTAGCTCTAGGAAGCTCATATTTAGACTCAGAAGAGACAAGAGGAAGCAGCAAAGGGGACAGAAGAGCAACCAACAAGTGGGAGAATGAGAGCGTGGGTTCAACCGGGAACCTGTGGTATATTAGAATGAGAGGGTGGATTCAGCAGAGGAACTTGCGGTGTGTTTCCCAGGGGAGGGTAATTAACTGTGCCAACTGCTGCCAAGAAGTCAGTAGGATCAGATAAGGTAAGGTGTGATCATTGTTGGCATTAGTGAGTTGGGATAGTGGAGAAGAAGGTCAATTGGAGGACTTCCAAAAGAAGAGAACAGGAGAGGCAGAAATGGGATTAGCAGTATGGATAGCTCTTTCAAGGAGTTTTTCTGTAAGAGGGAGCTGAGAACTGAAGCAATATTTGGAAGGGCATGTAGTGTCAAGAGGGGTTTTTATTATTATTTATCTATTTAAATTTACCAGAGGGTATATGTGCTCACCAGAAAGAGACAAAGAGAGAGGTAGTGGGAGAAACACCTCTCAATGGGGCATGCTCAATCCATTCTCCTTTTCTTCATCCAGTCAGGATCTCGGGCACTCACATGCATGCACTCAGTGTTCTTTTCAAGCTACTGGGTCCAGGACCTGAGCTACATGGTTGGTCATATAGGATCAGGCTCCCTTAACCACTGGGTCATGGGCTGGCCTATTATTGTCATTTTTCAAAAGATAGGTGGTAGTAGAGCATAGTTTATGCAAATGGAGTGATTCAGCAGAGAAGAGATACGTGTGAAAAACGAATTGCTGGAGCAACAGATAGAGGATGGAAAATATTCATCAAGTTTAAATATAATCTGTGGCTTTTAAAATATGATCATTTAGAAGTAGTTTTTATGTTGACTTCAGTTAACATTGAGGCTCTTATTATGGTTATTATCTCTATGAAGTGACTAAAATACTTCAAATAATTGAGAAATCTTTGTAAAAATTTGATTTAGATTTGGTCACACACCAATGCAAACAAGACTCAGCTGCTTAGCCAAGAACAACTCTATCTATGTCGTGGCAAATATTGGGGACAAAAAGCCATGTAATTACCGTGACTCAGCATGTCCTCCTAATGGCTATTATCAATACAATACCAATGTGGTGTATGATGCAGAAGGAAAACTGGTGGCACGCTACCATAAGGTAAGAGAGGGAACAGACGTGGGTGATGGAATCTGATGTGTGTGGCAGATGCTATGGGGTATGTCTAGGAGTTTGAGCTTTTTTCCATTGAGAATACAGTCTTACTTGAGTTTCGTTTTGTTTTCTTTCGTTTTGTTTGGTTTGGTTTTTATGGATATGAGTAATAAAAACAAAGACATTTTAGAAAAGAGTGATTCTGGATAAAAATGTAGGCAGAGACCCATTAGCAAAGTATTGTAAAGGTCCAGGATTGAGATAAAATTTTTGTATATATAAAACAAGTGATTTTAATGTCGATGCAAAAGGTACTAAAGTGATTATAATCTGGAAACTTTTAAATACTGAAATGATATAATGATGCTTCAAAATTATGTGGATTAGTTTCACATAAGTTAATTTTCTTTTTCTTTCTTTTTAAATTTAATTTGCCAGGGGGCACATATGCTTGCCAGAGAGAGAGCAGAGGGAAAGTGAGAAAGCTCTGTCCATGCAGGATGGACATGTTACAATCCCTTCTCCTCCATCTTTCCCTCCTTTCGTTATTTTGGATGTGTATGCACACACACACACCTGGTGAGCTGAACTATGCAGCTAAATTCCATTCAGCTTGGTGGGAACCATGCAGCTAGCCATGTGGGATCCAGCTGCTTTAACAACCACACCACCACCAGTCCCCCACATACGTTAATTTTCTGTCAAGTCACAAATATACTCTTTTCTACATCAATTAATTTAGTTCTCATCTTGTAGAGAGAGAACTACTAATGTCAAACAATAAAAATTTTATTTTAAAACTGTGAGTTGGAAAAAGAGTAAAATAACTCTGAAGTCACCATTTTAAACTAACTGGGAGGGGAGATAGGCTGGCCTTTGAAATGAGTGTGTGATGCACAGGTGATATGAATATACCTCCTCTTCCTCCATGTTTTTTCTAAGTATTTTAAATGATAGCTTCAGAATCTTTTCAGTGAAGAAATTATATTCTGAAAATTCCAATTAAAATATAGATATTAATTGAAAAGAGTGATATTAAATAATAATTTTCAATGCCTACTGGAAACATTTTTAACATGAATCCTCAATAAATGTATTTGGTTGTGGATTAATAAATAAAAACAAAGATTTCCACAGTTTTCTTCATGACTATGATTTAGGACAGCATTTATATATAAATTAAACTTTCTTTTTTTTGTTCTCAAAATGTGTCTCATACCAGGCATAGAATTGTAAACTCTTATATTTTCTTGTTTGAGAGATTGAGCCTGAATTATTAAATATATTTTTTTTATATATATATATGAAAGAAAGAGAGAGAAAACATTCACCAGAGAGGGAGACAGAAAAAGCAATCTCTAATGGTGTGTGGTCGTGTTGTAATTAGCTTTACACACATGCATACACACACAGTGTGTTTTTCGATCTCCTGGGCCAAGATCTGAACTATGGTCAGCATTAGAGATCTGCCTCCCAATGCACAGTGCTTTAACCATAGTCATCCTAAATTTAGGGTTATCACTCTCCTTTCGCATCCTTATCTGATTCACCGATATTTATTGTTCATCTATTATGTGTCTAGACAACAATGATCAAAAGACTAACAATGCATGTCTTCAGCTTTCAAGAAGCTCATAGTCTTTGGAGTTTATGGAAGGTAATTGGTTCTTGAGAAAGAGGAGTAGAATAAATTGAAAGTTTACTTCTAATCGCCAGACTATTCACTTTCTAGGAGTGACCATAGCTGTTGACCATAAATAATCAAACCAGTTACTCACTTTGGAGGGTTCTTATGAGTCATCTTTTTAACAAACATGGCTTTACTAGTTTTTCTTCTATGTACTTGTTGCAGTACCACCTCTACTCTGAGCCTCAGTTTGATGTCCCTGAGAAGCCGGAGTTGGTGACTTTCAACACCACATTTGGAAAGTTTGGCATTTTCACATGTTTTGACATACTCTTCCATGAACCTTCTGTTACCCTGGTGAAAGACCTCCATGTGGACAGCATCGTGTTCCCCACAGCATGGATGAATGTTTTGCCCCTTTTGACAGCTATTGAATTCCATTCAGCTTGGGCAGTGGGAATGGGGGTTAATGTTCTTGCAGCCAACATACATCATGTCAGCCTAAATATGACAGGTAATTCATGGACTAGATGAGGTTTGCTTTATGTATGTATAGCTATGCCATAATCCCCTCTCTCCCATTCTCCTCCATTCTCCTCTTGGGATTTGGGGCACTAATGTACACATGCCTGGCTTATTTTTCAAGTCACCAGGTCCAGGACTTGAACCACAGAGTCAGACATGTGGGGTCCAGCTGCCTTAATCACCATATGTACCTGCTGGCCAAATGGATGTATTTTTTGTTTTGTTTTTATTTTCTAAACTTGCTAGAGGGTGCTGCACTCACCAGAGAGAGACAGAGTGAGGGAAAGTGAGGATTGCCCCCCTCCCATGGGGGATGGCCACACTACAAACCCTCTTCCTGTTGGGATTCTGGTCATGCATGCGCATGCACCTGGCATGTTTTTCAAGCTGTCAGCCATATATTTCTAGCACCATAACCACCACACCACCAGCTGGCTCTACAGTTTGTCTTTCTAAATACAGGGAAATTAATGGCTCAGACATAATGTGTCTTGATTTTTTGCTTTTTTTGTTGTGACTCCTCATTACATTTGTCATCCTTTCACAAAATAGAGAGAGAAAGAGAGAGAAGATTATAATAGTTACGGTTGTGTTAAAACCTTATGTATATCATTCCATTTCATCATTACTACTCTATGTCATCGGTGTTAACATTCCAACTTACAGGTTAAAAAACAGACACAGAAAGTGCAAATAACTTGCCAAAGACCACCCAAGTAACTAGCCAAGCAGAGAACTAAATGGAAATGTGCTCTAAACTGCAAAGGCAGAGGACTATATTATTATTTACATGCTGCTGTATAATTAGTTACCCTGAAAGTTAAAGTAAATGTGATTTTACACAACAAACATTTATTATATCCAAATTTCTATCAGTCAGGAATTTGAGAGAGGCTTAGCTGGGTGGTTTTGACTCAGGTAGTCATTTCAGGTGGTGTCAAGTTATTGGCTGGGCTAGCAGTCATCAGAAGGCTTGACCGGGGCTGGTGGGTCTTTTTCCAGGGTGGCTCACTCACATGACTATTGGCAGGAGAGAGAGACAGAAATAGAAAGAGAAGGACACAGTTGATTACTTACCCACCATCACTTCTATCATACTCAAGAGGAAGGGAATTACATCCACCCATTGGAAAGAGGAATGTTAAAGAATCTTTGGACATATATGAAAACCACCACAGTAGGAGAATTTTGCATTACTTTTCCCACCTTTTCAGAACTCATGAATACACGGATTTTTACATTTGGTTTAATTTTTCCATAATGGTAAAATAATGCTGTTATATTCAAAGAATATTTGGAATGAGACTATCCAACCTCTATTTTTCTCTCTTTCAATAGCAAATGGTAGTATCGAGTTGTCAGAAAAGTCATGATGTTTCTTCATGTTTTTCTAGGCACAAATGTGTCATGACTTTTCTGATAACCCAATAGTTAGATGTGCAATATACTTAGAAGACTACATGTTCTTTCATTGTGAGCAGTACTAAATAATCACATGCCTTTTTCTGATGGGGACATTAGCAGTGTTGGCTTGCGTGTGCGTGTGTGTGTGTTTTACAAATACTTGTCTTCCATTCCCAGGGAGTGGTATCTACGCACCAGATTCTCCCAAAGTGTACCATTACGACATGGAAACAGAACTAGGGAAGTTGCTCATTTCGAAGTTGGATGCACACCCCCGAATCTCTCCTGCCTACCCAGCGGCGGTGAATTGGAGCGTTTACGCTGTGACCATCAAGCCCTTTCCAGTACAGAAAAACACTTTTGGGGGATTTATTTCTCGGGATGCATTCAACTTCACAGAACTTTTTGAAAATACAGGAAATCTTACAGTCTGTCAAAAAGACCTCTGCTGCCACTTCAGCTACAGAATGTTAGGGGAGAAAAAGGATGAAGTTTATGTTCTAGGAGCTTTTTCAGGATTACATGGCCGAAGGAGAAGAGAATACTGGCAGGTAATCTCGGTTCAAGAAAAAGACAGTGTTTAAGTCTAAGTAAAGTCCAGCTTAACTTTTCATATTTGTACCAGGAAACCAGGCGTTTTATCTATTTATTGTTTGGCATGATGTCATGCATTGACAATTATTATCCATATACACACACTGATATTAATCAGATATTTGTGATGGAGATTAAGTTTAATCCGATTACTTACTTTGAGCACATTTAAAAGAGTATTAATCTGGCAACAATGATTTTCTGTTTGATGGCTGAACTAGTTTGCATATTTGTGGTAAATTTCAAGTTTTTTTCTTAACTAGGTTTACTGACATATCTAAATATAAACAGTCTTATTTTCACTTACAAAACCAACACTGAATAGAAATACCACTTTTATATTAGTTTCTTTTTAATCCGATTACCTAGTCTTTTTATTTTCTTCAAATGACAAATTTTAAAACTGCAAACTTTTCATAGAATGTTGGCTATGAATTTGTATTTACTCACTATCCTCAGTGCTCCATTGTCTTCTTCCAAAGAGAAGGATATGGCAAAGAAAGACAGGTGCAAGGATAGTAAAAAATAATATATATATATATTTTTGCAATAGGGTGCATGCACTTGCCAGAGAGAGAGAGGGAAAGTGAGACATTATCCCTCAGAGGAAATGGTCACTCCGCAATCCCTTCTCCTCCAGTTTCCTCCTGGAAGTTTGAGCACAGACACACATGCACCCAGCATGATTTTCTAGCTTCTGGGTCTGGAACTCAAACCACATAGTGGGCCGTGTTGGGATCCAGGCACCTTAACTTCCATGCCACCTTATGGTTCAGGGATGGTCAAAATTTTGATCATACTTTCAGGTTCAGTCTTATTATCATTCAGGGATATATGCTTTCTTGGCTTCAATGCCATGATCTGACATGCCACACTTATAGTTTAAGTCTAAACTGACTTTTTCTTTCAATCCACTTGTTAGATAAGAATTGGGTTGGTTGTAAGATCATTTGCCATTTTCCAGTCATCACAAGAAACGTGATTCATATTCCTTTATGAAGAAGAGTATTTTGCCTTGCTATGGTTACCAGCTAAGTCAATGGTTCTGGCACAGTGAGTTAGATGGAAGGCATGCATTTTACCTGCGTTTGTTCCATGCAGGTATGCACAGTGCTTAAGTGCAAAACTACTAATTTGACAACTTGTGGTAAGCCAGTAGAAACTGCATCTACAAGATTTGAAACGTTCTCCCTCAGTGGCACATTTGGAACAGAGTATGTTTTTCCTGAAGTGCTAGTTACTAAAATTCATCTGTCACCTGGAAAATTTGAGGTAAGTGGATTTTAAGGGTATTTCCACTTTATCTATTTTCCAAAGTCAAATAAAACAGCTTAGGGCAACTGTATTAGTTAACTTTGGCTGTGTAACAAACTTCCTTAAATCTTAATAGCTTTAAACAATAACCTCTTACTTAGACCTGATGTCTGGGTTGGCAGTTTGAACTGGGCGTAGTGAGGCTGTTTTTCTGGTCTGGGATGGGCTCCATTGTAGTTGGCTGGGCTCGTTGTGTCTGCCTATAGCTCATGGCTTGGTTGGGGCTGACTGGTTTGGAATGGCCTTGTCTCCAATCCTGGGTGAGTTGGGACTCTCTCTCTGTGCTTGTTCATCTTTCAGGAAACTCAGGCTTATTCACATATTGGTTGGGAAAGTTCTTTGAATGTCTCATCAAACACAGCAAGTCACATGTGAAATGTAGAGAAATAAAGGACTCAGATCTTTCAGTGAAGTGAATTGTAAAATCACACTGCAAAAGGGCATAGATAAAGGAGGAGGAAATTTTGTGGCCACTCAAGCAATTTATAGCAACTAATTCTAAAGTGATGACACTTCTTTGGAACAATACAATAACATACCTAGACCCTATGAGCTCAAGGCCCCAAGAATGGTAGTTTATAGATTTTATTCTTTATTTTGGAGAGGTTTTTGCTATATGGCGCGTGCACTCAACAGAAAGACAAGAGAGAGACAGAAAGCAAGAAATCACCTCCCAGGGGGGATGGTCATGCCACAATCTCTTCTCCTCCATTCTCTTCTCTAGATCTCAGAAATACACACACACACGCCCGGTATGAGTTTAAGCCACCGGGTCTGGGACTCGAACCATGGTCGACTACATGGAGTTCAGCAACATAGCCATTACACTAACTGATGGTCCCAGGTAGTTTATAGATGTTTAATCTCCTTTTGTCACATGTGGAAACAAACAGAAAATCATATATTTATTATATATGCTAGTCCATGACACATTTAAATTGAGCACATGATCTCATATTCTGGGTACTACTTTGACTCTATTTCCATGTCATGTACTCAGAAACCTCTTTGAGGAATCATCCCAGATTCAGACTGAACATTTATCTCATGAAAAATACTGGAGTTTTCCAAAGCAGGTTACAAGTTTGAGGCAGAAATGCCATTCCATTATCACTCTGAACTACGTCAGAATTTGAAGACTTTAGATGGCGATAGTTGATAAATGTTTGCAGAGCATAAAGAAATTAGTCCATAGCTATGTCCTTTCTTTGTTTAAACACTTTGTTCCCCAAATGGTTTCAGGCAATTGGGAACAGTTAGAGGATAATATGAGAGAGTAAATATTTACATGCTTCACTCTATAGTATCTGTGGGTCCTGACTCTTAATAGTTCTGTGAACTGCTCATTCTGGTTCTCATTCCTGGTTCCTTATTCATAGAAAGAAGGAAGGAGGTAATGAGGAAAACATCTCTCCTTTAAATTAGGTGCTTACAGTATAATTATCATTTGGATATTGTCTCATCTACTCCAGCTCATTTTCACAAAGAGGAAATAAGGTAGAGATTGGGTTACACCAAAAAAGATATGAAAGAGACAACTGGCAGGCAGGGCCTTTGGTGTAGCAATTCCTTGGAGAAACCACCATACTCATTTCATAAGCGTAGGTTCTCTATGCATGACTTTCCTGAAGTTTACCAGATTCTGAAGCACAGAAACTAATAAGATGGATAAAAGAGAGTAATAAGTTATTATTTTAAGAAATAGGTTCACTTAGGTGGAGAACAGTCAACTCTTATCTCAAGAAGACTCTATAGTGGCAAATCCTCCTAAGAGTCCAAATTATGGATCAGACTTTTTTTTTTTTTCCCACAGAATTAAAACAAAAGGATATGGGTATTGTCTTAGTCCATTGCGTCGCTATACGAATAATACCCGAGAGTCAGTGATTCATAAAGAAAAGAGGTTTATTTGACTCATGTTTCTAGTAGCGAGAGCCACATCTGGCAAGCCTCTGATGCTGTGCCATAACTTGGCTGAGAGAAGTGGAAAGGGAAAGATGTGCATGCAAAGGGAGAGAGAAAGAGACCCCATGGACAGCCAGCTTGCTTTATAACAACCCGTTCTTACGAAGGCTAAGTAGTGAGGACTTGTTCCATCCTGGGAACTGGCATTATTGTTCATGGGAGAGATGCCCTGCACTTGCTTTCACTACACCCCACCTCTGATACTGCTCCATTGGGTATCTAAGATTTCCAGAAACCCATGTACTGTGGTTTGAATATGTCCCCCAAAAGTTCATGGGTTGGCATTTGATTGTATTGTGAAAGTAGTAAGAGGAAACTTAATTCAACTGAGGGATTAAGAAGTGGAGCCTTGGGAACCAGCAGTTAGCGTAATGGCTATGTCACTAGACCCCCTCGTAGTCGACCGTGGTTCGTGTCCCGGACCCAATGGCTTAAAACTCACGCCGGGCGCGTGTGCGTGTGTGCCCAAGATCCCAAGAGGAGAATGGAGGAGAAGGGATTGCGGCGTGA